AGAGAATACGACTTTGCAGTAATTTAACTGCGTATAGAACCATCAGAGAAGTGATTTGATCAGTTGTCTCCAAAAAAAAACTGATGACACATCACACTTGGTCACTTTTAACGATTCTGATTTAAAACCCTTGATTACAGGCCCTAAACCCATCTAATCATTTGTGTGCCCGTTTGGATACAAGTAAATCGAGCAATCACTTACGCCTTTCTAGATTTTTTCAACTTGGACAACATAATGCGAGAGGTGCCAATGGTAATTGGTAAAGCCGCCTTAGCCAATTTGGCTGCAGACGACGTGCCAAAGGTGACGGATCCCTGTCCATTCGTGTGCACTCCATCGGATTCGAGAAAGCGCTGGATCTCACCAACATGGCCAAACGCCGAAAATGCATTCCTCAAATCGGTATCGGTTAATTTGGCCTTAATGCCAGTCAAGAACACGCGGCATCTGAAATTATCACCAGCAACTGGTACGCCGACTGAGCGACTTGATTAACAAAATAAGAAAACCGATTTTAACAATTTCATGGAAATATATCACGGAGGCTTTTCTTTGCTAAACTACACCGCCAAATACGTAAGACGCTAACTAAAAAACATTGAAAATTCTTGATCACTAAATGCCTATACGTATTTGGCACGATTTCGTCGGCAGGAAAAAGAGTTAATATTTCGAAAAAACCGTGCTGGTGATACGGTGGAGCTGGGGGCTGGAAATGATCTGCATTCTTTGGACGCTGCGAAGTCGAAGAAGGCTTTGCCTTGACTGGACTAGGAGAAAAACAAATTTTAACTTTTGAACAGAATACCACGCGGCTACTTAGAAAGGCAACAGGGTTTAGCGAGGCTATTATAAGCTTGTGGTGGTTTGAGTTTAGCACTACCCTCCAACCCTCTGGGTAACAGATCAAAACACCCCGAGAGTGGAGTGAAGAGAGGAGACAGAGGACACGTAATATTCGACTGCCAGCAGGAGCCAAACACAAAAAGGGTGAGTTGTTGTCTATGCACTTCAAATATGCCCCTCCCCGTCGAGTGTGATCTGTGAAACGGTGAACGCTCGAAAACTATCCGATGGAATCAGCAAAGCGGACAACGGGTCTCAGGGTCGGCCAAAACCTGAAGTTGGGCAGTGTGCGTGAATGGGAGATTGTTGGGTAAATTCATCGTTGTTTGAGCATGTGGAAGGAACATTGGTGTCTTCCGTGCAAGAAGCTTTGAGACGGACAGAGCTCACTGTATTCAAGGAATCACTTGTCACTTATGAAATATTTGTCGGTGCGTTCTACCACCTTAAAGGGGCCATCATGGGGTGGTTGCAAGGGTTACTTTTTACACCATCAACTGGGTTAAATACATAAGGAGAAGTGAGCAAACTTGGTTGAATCCGTGCTTGTCGTGAGAGTATTCTTGTCGGGGTTAATCGAATTTCCTTAATGATTCACTTCAGTTGGTCGATATGCGATGAAGATGGGAACTCAGTAGTGTGATCAGAATTGGTGACCTTTTCACCAGGCAGAAGCACAGTTGTACCGACTATAAGTTCTGCTAGCGTGGAGTCAATATCTTCCTTTACCGTATTCCGAATGGCTAATAAAATCAATGATAATGAGTCTGACCAGTGGTTCGAGGCAGCTTTCGCAGTAATGGCTAATTTCAATTGACGGTGTATACGCTCAACCAAGTCGTGAGATGTTGGATGATATGCTGTAGTACGATAGTGGTTGCATCCAAGAAGGCGGTTTAGGTCTTAAAAACAAGCAAGACGTAACTTGTGCGCCACGATCATATGTAGTAGAACTGGACACGCCGATTGAGGAAACCCATGATTCCATAATGCGCGGGCAACAGTCTCGGCGGCACCATCTTTAGTGGGCACTTCCACAGGCCACATAGGTAAAGCAATGGGACAGCGGAAGAGGTCCAACTAAGTCTATATGTACACGTGGGAACCGCGCGTCTGGGAGGGAAAAATGTCCAGGTTGTGAAATATTATGGCGGTGGACTTTGCTGCGTTAACATTAAATACACAGTTTAGCCCATAAGTGAACATCTTTACGAATGCTAGGCCAAAAAAACGATCTATTATCAAGCGCAGGGTGGCGCGAACACCAGGGTGTGAAAGAGAATGCAGGCATTCAAACATTTATTTTCTGCATGGGGCAGGAACAAAGGGTCGAGGTCTGCCAAGTGATGGATTACAAGTAATTTTTGTAGAACAGTGGGACGCTAACAAAGCTGCCGTAATTCAGGGACCTCCATCTGCGCTGCGGCCAACTGTTCAAGGACGACACCACTTTTACAATTTCAGAGAACTCGTCGAACAGGTTATCCTATCTGTTAGAGTCAGTGAATGCCAGGTGGAGTCCAATTAAATTTATTGAGGCAGAGATTCCCCAAGCAGATAGTGTTGTATTTGACTCCATAAGCTTGCGTTGTGCCATATCAGCCAATAGACCATAAAGGGAAATGGAGTCAGTACCGGTTACTGGGCGTTGGACATCAGCCACGGTAAAAATGAAGGCAAATTGTCGCCTTAGGCCTGGATCAAAGGTAAGCACATTTTGACCATGCGTTGCAATCGGCGAATTGTTCGCAGCTTGAGGTGGCGTTTGTCAGGTCCCGGCGGAGCTACGCTAACCTCGGCACCGGTGTCAGTCAAACATTTTTAACAATTGTGTGAATCAGGGAAGTAAAATAGGCTACTAAATTGAGTGCCTAGACCAGTCGTAGCCATTACAAGTAAACTGGACAGCTTGATGGCCTGGGAGTGACTACGTAGGCATTTACAGGCTTGTGCCTTGTCACCACACCGCCGATGGTAACAACATAGGCCAGATCGTGATGAAGAGCGTTTTCGAAGTTGCGGATGTTTGCAGAAGCTGCTCGGATTACCTCTAGTAAGGTAATCGAATTTTAGTGACAGTTTGTCCATCCGTTCTTCCAACTTATTGATGCTCAAATTGTAAGTGCTAGCTTTTGCGCCAGAGGAATCGGTCTCCTGACCCCGTCCAAGGAAAAAACATTAGTGGACTTTATTAGCTATCTCAGCGAGTTTCTAAAGTGGTGTGTCGGAGGTCTAGATGGAAATTACGGCATTGGTATTCGCCGGAGACTTTGGCCCATAACTGGATCAGATCAGAGCGATCGACCATGTTATCTCCCCCAAAGTGACGCATGTGCCGAAGAAGTTGTGAGGGGGACTTGTCACCTACTTCGATATTAGAAAGGAGGTGTCGAAGACGGGCCTCATTCGAGCCGGTGGTACGAGCAAGAACAGCAGCTTTTAACTTGCCTTGGGAGATTTCAGAGGTCATTGTTGCAATCAGGTCATATTCGAGCATTAAAGAAGTGATTAGGAAATTACAACGGAAATGCTGTTTTCCGAAGGTGGGCGTATTGCAATAGGGTCATTCTCTAGGCCATACGGAGAAAACGGCTTTGCACTAATTTCACCCCATTCAGAACATATCACACTTCGTCACTTTTAAAGAATCTGTTTAAAACCCTTGATTACAGGCCCTAAATTCATCTAATCATTTGTGTGTCCGTTTAGATACAAGTAAATCGGGGAATCACTTACGCCTTTCTAGATTTTTTCAACTTGGACAACATAATGCGAGAGGTGCCAATGGTAATTGGTGAGGCCGCCAACGCCGATTTGGCTGCAGACGACGTGCCAAAGATGACGGATCCCTGTCCATTCGTGTGCACTCCATCCGGTTGGCGATTGCGCTTTATCTTACCAACAGGGCCAAACGCCGAAAGTGCATTCCTCAAATCGGTATCGGTTAATTTGGCCTTAATGCCAGTCAAGAACACGCGGCATCTGAAATTATCACCAGCAACTGGTACGCCGACTGAGCGACTTGATTAACAAAATAAGCAAACCAATTTTAACAATTTCATGGAAATATGCCACGGAGGCTTTCCTTGGCCAGCCTACACAGCAAAATATCTAAAAATCTAACCGAAAAACATTGAAAATTTTTATCAATAAATGTCTAATCTTATTTGGCACGATTTCGTCGGTAGACAAAAGAGTGAATATTTTGAAAAACATCGTGCTGGTGATACTCACAGTGGAGCTGGTTGTTGGAAATGTTTTGGGCACTTTGAAAGCTGCGAAGTCGAAGAAGGCTTTGCCTTGGCAGGACTAGGAGAAAAACAAATTTTAACTTTGGAACAGCATACCATGCGGCTACGTAGGCAGGTAACAGGGTTTAGCGAGGCTATTATAAGCTTGTGGTGGTTTGAGTTTAGCATCGCCTTACAACTCTCAGGGTAACAGACGGCAACAACCCGACTTGTGTGAAACAAGAGGCGACTGAGGACACTACCGTTTTTTAGCCTCACGCCGGCCAAATGTGATTGTGTACCTATGAGTACGCGTGCGCAACAGGTGAATGCTGACAGCGGCCAAACACAAAAAGGGTGAGTTGTTGGTTCAGTCGGGCCAGTTTACACGCATCACTCACGCGAGGTGGCTGTCAGTCCACTACAAACTCCTATGGTACTACTATTTTGGCAGTAGAACGTGTCTCTACAAGAAAATACAAGTTCAGCTTATAGGGGTCTCAAATCAACCTTATTCTCCTATATCATTCGTCATATTGCTATCTAAACCTATTTACGTTTACTTACAGCACTTTTTCCCTTCCTGCTCTCCTATTGGTCAAGCACACTCACGATCGATGGCCATAGAGAAAACAATAAGTTGCTTTTTTGTAAATATAATCTTTTTAAACAATGTGTTTAAGAGTAGTATTTTTGCACATAGTGTGCTAGCACCAAAATAAAGCAGATTTACTTTCTATCTATGCTTCAAAATATCGCTAAAATTAAGTAGCCACTTACGTCTTGCTCGATTTTTCCAAGCGTAACACGTTAACTCGAAGAAAAAAACGTGAGTAGAAAGCACTCAAAGCGTGAAATGAACAGAGCATATGTGTGATCCATTCATGCATGAAAACTTTCCCAATTGCGCTTGAACGAAATCTTA